GTGGATTGGACATATTCGATGAGCCTATTTAAATAATTAAATGATTTAAATCTACCACTAAATTTGTTTTTAAGAAAGTTAATAATAATATCCTGATCCATTATCGTTATTGGGGATTAGCGTTTCCGCTTATTCACATATGGATCAGGATATTATTCATTAATCCCCCGTGATCTTGACATAGTGATCGAGGGATCATTTTTAAATTAAACGTACAATGAGCTAGCATATGACACCTTTACGCGAGGTAAATCTAATTATTGTCGAAGATTTTGGTTATAATCAAGAATTCGTTGAAATTTGTATTCTGTGTTATTTTTTGTATGTGGCGGCATTTGTTTTCTTTTTTTTTAAAAAAAATGTAAATATTTGATGTGTTTTTTTGATTATCGAAAAAAAAAGTCTAGGGGAATATAAAAAAGGAGATAATGAGTGTTGATAGAGAAATCAAATATTTCCCTTTTTCTATAATTGTAATGGCAAGAAACCTAAATAATATAATATTTTTGATGAAAAATTAGAAATGGTAAATAATTTGCTTGTGAATTAAAACAAAAAAAGTCTTGGTTCTTATAAATATTATTATTTTATATCTAAAGTCTGTCACATATTTGATCTAACCGTTGCTATTTCAATTATCCCATCGTTCATTACAACTTTTCCTTAATTTTCATTAACATTACAGGTAAAGCTTAGTTGAGCTTAGCTAACCAAAAATATAGTCTTTTAGGTCACTCTGAATGGCAAATATCAAAATAAAGATTGCGTACCTTTTCTGAACAGGTTACATAGAATCAATTCTTGCCGGGTAAATTTAAATTTATGTTATTTTATTTACTATATATAATTAAAAAAAAAAATTATTTTCTTTTGTATATTTAGGGCTTTGGCAAGAATCGGAAAGTCCGTTTTGCATTTGGATGCAAATAACTTTTATGGTGGAAATTGGAGTTCTCTTAATTTCAAAGAACTTTTGGAATGGACTAGATCTATTCAAGGTTAGTCAATGTGAAACTTATTTCTTTAATATTTCATATATTACGTGTAATTTATATTAAAAAATTTATTGAAATTTCAGGATTTGTTGAATCTTCAGGAAACGAAATCAGCCAAGAACGTAAATGATCAATCAATTTTTCTATATTTTTTGATAAGTTAAAAAATCATCAAAACATTAAAACGTTGATATATTATCATGGTTAGGTATTGAGGGCAAAAAAGCCTTGATGTCCAATTTTACAAAGGTACGACAACAAGCATATTCAACAGTTGAATATGATATTTATCCAATTCCTAAACAAGCGGATGATATTCTCGTTTTTGGCAATTTTATTAAAAGAGTCAAAGCGCTATAATTTGGATTTGGCACCAAAAATGGTACCTTGTCGTGGAGAGATTATTGAACTCTTGATTAGTTCTGGAGTTGGAAGATATCTGGAATTTAAAGCAATGGATAAAACTTACGTTTATTCTGCAGATACGTTTGATAAGGTTAGTTACAATATAACAATATATAGGTGGGACGGTGGGACTGACTCTGTTGATCATCCCGTGATCACATAATTACTATTATCAGTGAAGCCTGCTTAAATTAAGCGGTTTGAATATTTATTCATATATATATATTTAAATTCCAATAGGTCCCATGTTCTAAAGAAGATGTTTTTACCAACAAGTCCATTACTTTAATTGAAAAGCGTAAATTGATGAGATTTTTAACTTTTGCGTTAGATTATACCAATTCTCCAGACACATATAAAGGTTGATTTAGATATTTAATATTAATTTCTTTCTAATATTACCTTTTTAACAAAGTAAATATGTAATATTTATAGATTATGAAGAAAAGTCTTTTACTACATTTCTTATTGAAAAATTCAAAATTGATGGAAAATTATTATTGGCCGTTTTATATGCGATTGCTTTGATCCGTGCTGATGCAAATGATAGTTAATATTGAATTTAGTTTAATTTAGTTTAATTTTTTGTTGCTTGCATGATTTTATAAGTGAATTAATCACTTTTATAAAATTAGTCAACACCATACAAGGCTTGGAAAAGACTCAAAAATATCTTAAATCACTTGGTCGATATGGTA